GCAGCCGCAGATATCGCAGATTGGGACGGTCCCGCAGCTCCTCGCCGGCGGCATAGCTGGGGCCTTCAGCAAGACTTGTACTGCTCCTCTAGCTCGCCTTACCATTCTTTTTCAGGTGTATTTTCGTTTTGCCCTTTTGTTGTTTTCCCACCTTCTTCTTTTTATGTAAACTATGCTTAATTTGGGGTGTGGGTGTAACTATGGAGCTTAATGAATTTCCCCTAGCACACCAAAATCCAAGAAAAATTGCATCTTTTGTATTGGGTATTGTGAAATTTATAAGTTATGCCGTCATTAGCTTGAATTCCTTTCAAGTTCTTCTGGTTTTGTACTAGTTTAGCTTCGAGTTTGCATTCTCTTAAGTTAATTTGGATTGTTACATTTTTTTTTTTCCTTAAAGTAAGGTTTATCAATGCTCGAACCCAATTCCATTTCCAAGGTTATTGAATCTTGTTGCAGCGACATAGACGATTGACATAATAGTGAACCAGAATTCGAATTCTTTTATTTCATCAGGAACATAATCGACATATTAGAACCATCATACAATGGCATCCATCTCTGTTTTGTAGCGTTATCGTTTTCCCATTTATTCTCTTTATTTACAAACTTAATCGTTCTTTCTCTCCTATTAGGTGCAAGGCATGCATTCAGACATTTCAAGTATGAGCAAACCTAGTATATGGCGTGAGGCAGCACGTATAGTCAATGAAGAAGGTCTCAGAGCCTTTTGGAAAGGGAATTTGGTTACTATAGCTCATCGTCTTCCTTATTCTGCCGTCAATTTTTATTCCTATGAACAGTACAAGAGGGTAAATGCTGTTTTTTGACGAAGTTGAAGAGTATTTGATGACATATTGCACAAATGCTGTTTTAATAATGTTATAAATATTTTTTGCAGATTTTAAGATCAATTCCAGGTCTTGATGGGCAAAGGAGGAATGCACACGGAGATATTTTCGTGCATTTTGTGGGTGGTGGCTTAGCTGGGATTACAGCTGCTTCTGCCACATATCCTTTGGATCTTGTCCGGACAAGACTTGCTGCACAGGTGCAAAAATAATAAACTTAGGACCTTAAAAACTTGTCACAAGATAGAATAGTTTCTTCACATTTGAAGTTCCTATCTCATTTCTGAGCTGGTTTGCAGCAATATGACTCCCTTTTCGAATTTATCCATGTTATCCTGAAAATATTTGTAGAGGAATGCTATTTACTATCAAGGAATAAGGCATGCACTTCATACCATCTGCAGAGATGAAGGTTTCTTTGGCCTGTACAAAGGATTGGGAGCAACATTATTGGTACTTTTTTTCTTATATATTACATATTCATAGATGATTAGATTTGTTTCTGATATATATATATATATATATATCAGGGTGTTGGACCGAGTATAGCTATAAGCTTTTCAGTTTACGAGAGTTTGAGATCTTCTTGGCATTCTCAAAGGTGAAAAAATGAAGCTCACTTTATTGAATTTATATCTCATCTCTTTTGTTTATTCGGTCGGAATTTTTTTGTAGGCCCAATGATTCGTCAGTATTAGTCAGCCTTGCTTGTGGCAGTCTTTCTGGCATTGCTTCATCAACAGGTGTGTGTGTGTGTGTGTGTGTGTGTGTGTGAGAGAGAGAGAGAGAGAGAGAGAGAGAATATCCTCGAAATTTGATTCATTTTAAACGAGGCAAACTTGCATTTTTAGTTGTGTTCGTTTAATGCCATAACAGTTTTAGTTTCAAAGTTTCAGCATTTCGCCTTTTAAGTCCTGTGGCTGACTGAGGACTGAAATTGCAACAAATTTCCAAATTCCCAGATTTTCGATTAGCAATTTAAGTCCTTGTAATTTGAAAACTTGGGACTAAAATTGCTATGGTGTTAAACCAACACGACAAAAATTAAAAGTTTGCCTTCTAAACGATCATATTATCGATTATCATTACATGATTTACTACATCACTTGAATTCATTACAGCAACATTTCCTTTGGACCTTGTGAGGCGGAGAATGCAATTGGAAGGTGCAGCTGGTCGAGCCCGAGTGTACAATACTGGAATTTTCGGCGCATTCAAACACATTGTCCGAACAGAAGGCTTTCGTGGCTTGTACAGAGGAATCATGCCCGAGTACTACAAGGTTGTACCGAGTGTAGGGATCGTTTTCATGACATACGAGACATTAAAGAAGCTACTTTCACACGGCCCCTTCAGTTAGATTGCGCACCTCAATTTTTTTTTTTTTGGGTGATTAGATTGCAAATTTTGTTTGTTTAGGACTTGGGAGAGGCATTTGTGTGCTGTTTTGTACTACGGCTTAGATCTTTGTACCCGAGCGTTATTCGTCTGTTAGCTTTTTTATTATTCGAAGTGGCTGATAACCTTTCGAAATGCGTCGATTAGCTTTCGACAAAAACTTCCTACAGGAGCATACATTCTTCCATTCTATGAATTCGACCGAGTAATTCAAATGAAGTGTAATATAATTGTTTTTTAGTCCTTGATCTGTTCAGATTCTCCGGTTTTTTCTCGTGTTTATGCGCTAAACGCACAAGAAAGGTATAAATATTAATGGAACTTATGTTCCCTTCTCTGTTATGCACTGCATTTTTAAATTACCAGAACACATGAAAGGTGTATAGACATATAGTTTGGCAATTGTTAGCTATACCCGAAAAATTGCGAAATTTAATAGCAGATTATGGTCCCTAATTACTATTATTGTTTGTTCAGTGGGGTATAAAGAGATATCTGCACAGATGGAACTAATTAGATGATAAAATGGAGTGGTTCCAAACGGTTACAAACTTCGACGGAGTGGTCCGTAATGGAACCGTAGCTTTTCCCAAAGGCACAAAAACAGATAAAGGAAAGGGGAACACAGATAATGATGATGATGATGATGCATATGTAAGCTCAGATTTTTCTCACCCATAGCAAAAGAGAAAACCCCAGAAAAGAGTAAACAAATCATTAAAAACATCATAAAACCACAGATTTTCTGTTTTTTTCACACACACACACACACACACAAGAAAACCCACAAATATTCATCCTTTTCCAATCTTGCAGCCAACAATCATCACCTTGTTCTCATCAAGAAAACACTGAGTTCCTGACTCGGCCCTCCATCCGGGTTGATCAGATGAAAAGACTCCGAGTCAGCGCTCCCCACAACACACTCGTAATTAGCTCGCATATACATGATTTCCGAGCCGGGCTCGGGCCCGACCGGGAGCACGCCTG